ATAGAAATTACTCTATCTCCTAAAAGACAAGAGCACTCTTGCTACTTCCCCAGCCTCTGTATACTCATTCGCTTTCCTGCCCCCCTTTTAACCCATTCTGCTAGTAGGCATCTTCTTCCTCTTTGATAATGCAGTATTCGTCAAGGACAGCTGTGAAAGACAAGAGACAGGAAAATTTCCTGAGACTGCTAGGCATCTGATCACCCCTCCTCTGCCTGCTGATTGTATAGATTGGTATAGATTGTATAGACCTTCTTGATGCCTGAACTCTCTCTCCTACTTCTTTTTAAAAGCTACATTTAATATTTCCTAAATAATGCCCTAAATATCTATCCCACTGAAGGAAATCTAAATATTTTCATTTTTTCCCTCTCTCTACCCTTCTCCTCTCTCATCCCCAAGTGAAAATTTATGTGGGGAATTGGTGTAGTTGATGCTATCTATGACCATTGAAAGACTGTTGTGTGTGTGCTGTTCTTATAAACATGACTTTTCTAAGCACAAAAAAACCAGTAAGACCTATGTCCTTGGTTCATTTGTTCAGACCTAGTTATTGAGGCATAAATAGTGTGCTATATAACACGGTGAAATGACCTAGCAGTACCTATAACACACAGGTACAGTGAGACCTAGAAAAATAGAGTGCCCGATATTAAAACAGAGAACCAGCATTAACTTTTGATTTCCTTGCTCTGGTTTTATAGAGTTGTGACAAAAAACAAGATTTTTCCCCTTTCACTATAGATTGGAGTTCCATATGTGACTGCACCAGAGGAATATGTAAAGTTTGAATCTTTTCATAAGAAAATCCTAACCTTTCATCTGCATTCTTCCCCCTTTTCCCTCTCCAAAAGAAACCTTCCTCCAAAGATGAATTAATTTTAAGCTATCACAATTAAAAATCACTGTTGCCTTTGAGCTGTTTTGTTTTGAGAATGTGAAAACGTTATGAAAGGGCATGAAAAATGACAGGGTAAGTGATCCTTCCTGAGTCACTGTGGTCCACCACAGGATATATAATTACATCTTAAAATAAAACAAATACCTACTTGAACCGATGGAGCATAATGGCTGCCTTAGCGCTGCCGTAGATGTGCATGTGAGGACTTAAAGAAACACATGGATTACTGACCCGACAGGCCATAACAGTAATCCAAAATCACCGTTATGGTCTCTACTATAAATCCACCTTATTTCATGGACCGTTGACACAATGGATGGCAACAAGATAGAGGTTTATAACAGAAATGCTGACACAACCTTATCTATAGTGGCGCAAATGGTGCCGCTGCAATTAAACTTTACAACTTGAGCACCACTAGATAAGTTGCTAGTTTTTAATCATATTAATCACTACTTGGATGTTTCAATTGCCATATATTATCAAATAGTGTGCACTATAAAAATAAAAAGATTCCCAAACACTAAAGATCATATCTGTTGTGAAACATAAAAGTATATCCAAACACTTCCCTGGAAATGCAAAAATACTGAAAGAAAACCTTAATCAGTTATCCATTTTTTGCTTTGTTTTAATATATAAGTCGATATAGTAGCCACAGAAAGTATGCTGAATACATTACAAGAATACTAGTGAATAGTAAAAAAGTTTCATTAAGATCTGCCCTGTATGTTTCAAATTTTCCTATCAGCAGTAAAACAAGTCTACTGTATTCAGTGAAAACAACAGTCAGAAGCCTGCTCTTTCACAGGGAGGCACTGAGATTATTCTTCATGCACTGCTGTTCTCCTTAAAAGCTGACTTCCCAGTGTTACTGTGGAGGGGGTGGTGAAACTCTCACTGCTTTCAGTGGTCTGAGATTTGGAGCCTGGGAATGTAAATATTTTCTCCTCACATTTTCTCTTCATTTGTCCGAGTGATTTACAATTTAACCGAAGCAAGGAAAGTTTCCTCTTGAAGAAGCTATATGTGGTGAAAAATGAATAGATTTTGCACTGGAGCTGAAATCTCCTATTTTTATCAAGTGGGTGTTGCTAATTCCAACAATGAAATGAAGCTAGAAATAAAACTTGGTTGCTTACTGCTCTCCATTACCCGAAATTTGCAAATCTTTCCATACTGCATGCCAGCTTACGTTTATCATATAACATACTCCCACACTGCTAATGCCTACTCTTTTAAAGAGCTAGCTTTTTAGACGACTTAGACAATTGTGCTTTCTCAAGATGGATAGTATAGGTACGTAGTGTGTGTGTGTGTGTGTGTCACCGGAAGTCCTGTAAGTAATTAAAAGGAAAGTATGTGTGATGGAAAAGGGTACGCTATGGACATTTCTGAAAATTGTAAGAGCTGTAGCAACACATAGGACTTGCCATAGTGTTATTCTGACCCCTGAAGGATGGAAACAGAGTTAACTTCATATCCGTTTTTCCCAATTTACTCGGTATACTCTGTGAATGTCAAACTCTAAAATACTTTGGCAGGATTTATTAGTGCTTGTCTAGATTTACCTTCAAGAAATATGAAAATAGCCTTGAACTAATGGTAAACTAACTTTAAATTACCAAAGTTTTCAGGAAAGCAGAGAAAAAATGATTTTTCAGGGTGGTGCCATGGTAAAGTTACTGTGAGTTTTCTAGTGCATTAAGTCTGATAAAGAGTAAGGTATGTGGAAATCATGTTTATTAAGAGATGCAAACCCACTCTGCCCTCACCTCTTTCTAACTGAGAAGTTGTTTAGTGAACTCTTGCTAAAAGGAATCCAGAGTGAAGAAGGGAAGGATATAGGCCAGTGATTATAAGATCGCTCATTTCAGCTGTGATAAGATTTCATCAGGCTTACATTTTTTGCAGAAAATGCATCCATTAGAGGTATGGGGCTTCAGCAGTGCCTGCCTGTCTTCAAGGAGCACTTCCCCCACTCAGAACAGATAGCAATAGTGATGTATGTTTCTAAAATGGGTATTAAAATAAAATCTACCCTGATATTACTATCTCTGTGGACAATTCAGTGTCAAAGGGTTCTCCGAAGTCCTTCTGGGTTAAACTACTGAGTCTTTTATGGCACCTTTGCTCCTCACCCAGTTACTTCTGAGATGCATTTGAAAAGTGTTAATGTGTTACCATTTCATAAGGTTTAACAGTGCGCTGAGGACTCGGGTTTGGGGTTCTTTTGTAAATGTAACAGATAGCTTAGGCTGTTTTATCTGAAAATACTTTTTTCTGAAGTCTGTCATGCTGTACTCTAAATATCAAAAGAATCATACTGCTAAGCTGTAACGCATTCATTTCATACACTCAGACAACAATATCTGTGTTAAGAGCTGCACATACTCAGAGTGAAACAGCGTCAGCTCTACCTTGAAAACCGAAAGAGGGGGTCAGCAGAATTACGTGCTTGGAGGGAGGCAGTGGCGAGGGGGAAGGGAGGAGGATCAATTTTGATTTCAGTTTTGTTCCTCCTCCACTCGGCTGTTGCCATGTACTGACTCGCAGGTTCCCGTGTGACCTTGCTGAGGAGCACTCTGCCGGGGCTGCTCAATGGGCCCATTGTGCGGTGTTGCGGGAGGTTTTTGGGAGCCCCCTCCACCAGCGTGGCTGAATTAGCAGCGAGGCGGCCTGGTGCCTGCATGAACTCCCTGTCCCGGGGAAACTCCACCGTGAGCAAGCTGGTGCCAAAGGCAGCCTGCAAAAGGGGAGCCCGCATCAGGACCTGAGCAAGAATCTCCCATCCTCTGCCCATATCTCCCTTGCCAGCTGCCAGGAGCATTGCAAAGTTAACACAAGTGATCGATACGCTATATGAGTACGTTATTATACTATCGGCGACTGATGCCACTGATGTAATCAAGTTACATAATCATTGTCTTTGCACAAATACATCCATCTTCCTACAGATAGATCTGCATATCTGCTTCCATCCATTATGCATGAACCCACCAGCAGTACATAAGGGTATATATTTTTGCATACACTATATAACTTTAGCATTGCAGTGCATTGTACTGTACAACGTCATCACTACAGATTCTCTCAACCTTCCCCTATTCTCTCTATCAACATTGATTTTACAGAGAAAGACTAAGAATGTGCATTGCTTGGATCCCTTTAAATCTTTAAAGGCTGAAGTCTTCCTTGCTTGCTTGTGTTCTTAAAACGATGATCTCCTGATTTCTCTCCTTTTCTCCCCTTTCTGCTTCACACCACAACTAACGGAGGAATTAATTCACAGGCAGTCCCCCAGCCAGATGCATATATGTATGAAATACCGAAGATAGGATCTCTGTTTGCAATTCTTCAACTCCCATGCACGTGGTCTGAGGTTTCAGTAGGTAAGTTATTGGGTGAAAAAAATATTTTATAGGAGCAGGTGGATGAGAGATTTTTCAGGCTAGTGACATTTGTGATGTTTTTCTACTATTAAGATCAGATTTTTTCCTTACCGTTTCTCAGTTTATAATTTCCTCACAGGATTTACAGGAATAGTTGTAATCCCAAATCACCAGTGGCATTTAACCCCCTTAGAACTAGAGCACTGTAACACGATTAATAAGGATTGCCACCTTGAAGTTTAACAACTTGAAAACCGGGATTTCTCTACCTCCATTGCAGCCACGAAATGCAGCAGAATGCTGCACAGAGTTGAAAACATTTTGTTTTCACAAACGGATGGGATCTGATTTGATATTAAATAGATTCCATCACTAAGAGCCTCTTTACTGTCATATATCCTTTTCAGTCAAATGCATTATATCCAGAAAAAAATAAAAAGAAAAATGAAAGACTCCTTGCCCAGTAGGCTTTTATGGTACTCTCCCAAACCAAGAGGGTGCGAAAAGAGAGGGGGAGGAGGAGATTTTTTGATTTATCACGGAACGCACTCACCAAAATACCTACTGCAGTTATTTCACTCAACTGCCAATAATGGCTAGATCCCTTCACATCAGTGTAATGCAGCAATCATGAAAGTACCCGTTGCAATCGCAAGCCACCAAGTTTAGCAATGCCGGGGCTTTTGCCTTATAGAAAATGACCTTACCCACAAGAGTCTTCCCAAATATTCCGCTCGTGAGATCAGTCAGCAAGGTAATTGCCGGTCATCACAATGCGTATTCGGAGAATCCACGTTTTTTACTCCTCCGGCGGGGCTAGCGGCGAGCGCGGCGGACGCGATGCCCATCCATGCACCGGTGCCAAGTTCACCGCGGGCGCAGGTAATTCCATACAGACTTCGGCGTTCCCCCCCCCGCCCCCCCTGGAGTCGCCCCTTCCTGGCTAGTTCAGAAA